TGTAGTACAAGGACTCGAGGAACTTCACATCCCTCGACACAGTCAGCTGCTGGCTGGTCAAGTCCCATATCAACCAGCCCTTGTGATCCTTGGCAAGTCCCAAATGCACACCCCATCTCCCAGAAGCTTCCAGCTTTCCCCTCTTCTCCTTCGGCACATGAAACACCACCATGCAGCCGTAAGCTCTCAGCATGTTGACTGCTGGTGCACTCCCATACCACTTGGTGTAGGGGATCCACTGCTTGTCCCCCACAGTCGCCAGCACCCTGTTCTTCACAACGACGACCTGCCTCAGTGCAGTCACCCAAAACGGATCCGGCAGCCCTGCACGCCCAAGTAGAGTGCGGGCACCTTCCTGCAGGGTCCGGTTGAACCGCTCAGCCACGCCATTCTGTTGCGGGTTGTAGGGCACTGTGAGCTGATGCTGAATGCCCTTCTTCTTCAGCACCGCCTCAAACTCATTGCCAATGAACTCTCCCCCATTGTCGGTGCGGATCACCTTCACCTTGTGTCCGCTCTCCCTTTGAGCTCTCGGCATCCACTCCTTAAGAACAGCCGCTGCCACCTCCCCCTTAGTCTTGAGAGGGTAGACCCACACCGCACGCGTGTGGTCGTCCACGATGGTCAAGAAGTAGCGGCTGCCCGAGAGAGAAGGGGCCCTCGTGGGGCCCACCACGTCCATGTGCACAAGCGCGAGCGGTGCCTTGGCTGGTCCCATGCTGCTGCTGAAGGGGAACTTAGTGAACTTTGTCTCAAGGCATGTAGGGCAGCTCCCAATCTCCTTTGCTGCCCCCTTCACCTCCAATCCCTTCAAGCTCCCATCCTTCACCAACTTCTGCAGCATTGGGATGTTGATGTGGCACAGCCTCTCACCACTCCCGGATGAAGCCTTTGCCCATGCAGCCGTTGCATCCACACCTGCAAGCACCTCACCATGAGGCTGTCGTGGCTGCTGCACCTTCTTGACTGCATCCAGGGCCCCAGCAGTTGGTGCAGTCACTTGTCCTCCCGCAGTTGCTTTAGCCGCTGCCGCTGCCTTTGCCGTTGCTGGTGGTTTCCCGTTCCAAGGGATGATGGACGTAGAACTTCTCCCGTCGAAGTATCTCGAAGACACGTCGTAGGTGTTCGATGTGCTGCTTCACGTCGTAGGTGTTCGATGTGCTCGAGTAGATCAGGATGTCGTCCAGGTACACCACCACGCATTCGTCGAGTAGAGGCCTAAGAATATGGTTCATTTCGGCCTGGAATGTAGCGGGTGCGTTGGTGAGACCGAACGGCATGACGAGGTACTCGTAGGATCCGTATCGTGTCCGAAACGCCGTCTTATGGATGGAGTTATCCGCCATCCGGATCTGCCAATATCCCGATCTCAAATCGAGTATTGAGAATATCGTGGCTCCCCGAAGCTGGTCAAGCAGGTCATCGATCCGAGGAATGGGATACTTATTTTTTATCGTCTGCTTGTTGAGAGCTCGGTAGTCAATGCACATGCGTGTGCAGCTGCCATAGGTCCTTGATGCAGCTGCTCTTCTCCTCCAAATCCCACAGCAGCAACTTCCCAAGCTTTGCACGGCAGCTGGTTGGGCCGAACGTAACTTTGGCCTTGCTTTTCTGCAGCCGGCGCACAGAGAGGAGGTTAGCAGATAAACCTTCAACCAACATCACATTCCCAAGTCCCACAAGTCCCCCATTGGCTCCCATCACCTTGGCATTTCCAACACCAATCACAGGGAGCAAAGCACCTGAAGCGGCAGCCACAAACTTGATCTTCCCAGGGGGTTTCACCTCGTCAAGCAAATCTGCCCGCGGAGTCATGTGACTCGTGCAACCTGAATCTATCACCCAGTGAGTGAGGGGGTGCATCACAACCTTCCCAACTGAGTCCTCATCATCCTCACTCACTTTCACATCCTCAACCATGAGGAACAACCCAGGGTCAGCTTTACCTTGTGCACCATCACCTTGTGCACCTGAACCTTGCACAGCACCACCTCGTGCACGTTCACCACTTGGCGGCTTCATGCCTGGGGGTGCCCATCCCTCAGGCCGGCTAAAACACTTGAACCACGGGTGTCCAGCCTTCTTGCAGTACCAGCATGCACCCTCCATTCGGGTGCTCCCCCTGCCACTAGAGCTCCCATGCCCCTCGTTGTAGTCACCTCGGCCTCTCCCTCTGCCAAAGCCTCTCCCACGGCCTCGGCCTCTCCCACCCCCTCTTCCTCTGCTGCCACCTGCAGCTCCATACCCCTCAGCAGTCTTGTTGGCAGCACCGCCTCCCGTGTGGCGCCTGCGGAAGTCCTCCTGCAGAATCTGCTGCCGTAGCCACTCAGGCGTCCACTTGTCCTGCTGAACGTTGAGGGTGGGGATGAGGTTGTCCCATGAGTTGTCGAGCACCGAGATGATCTTGGTGCATTGCTGCATCTCCGACACCTTGCTGCCCGCCGCTGCCATCCTCGCGTAAGTGTCCTTGATCTTGTCAAGGACCGGCTTCACATCATCTCCCGGTCGCATGAAGAGGGCAGCAAGCTTCTTCTCCAACACAATCACCATCGGCAGCGTGTTGGGTTGTACCACGTCGCGTAGCAGCTTCCACGCCTTCGGTCCGGAGTCGTCCAGCTCCACCAAATCCTTGATGTGCTGAAACATATCGTTGTTGACCGATTGAAGGATGAGGTCGTACAGCACCGCGCTCCGCTCAATCCACCGGTCGCGGGCATCTCCTTCCTCCGGCATCTTCTCTTCTCCCATCGCAAGTTTCAGCAGCTTGTAGCGCTTGAAAGCGCTCCGCATCCGCCCGCTCCATTCCTCATAGTTGGAGCCATCCAAGGCTTCGATCTTGGACGGTGGCGGTTCACTCTTCTTCTCAGCTGCTTCTCCACTCATCTCCTCTGCTCCCAATCAGAGGTTTCAGCTCCCCTTTTTGCTGTCCACACCGAAGTCCCACACAATTTCCACAAGTGTCGGCGCCAACGAAATTTCGGCAGAGTTTCCCCTTAGCGGAAGTCACTCCCAACCTCCAGAACTCCACTTAGGCATGCCCACAGGCCATGGTGGGTCTAAGAGGGTCTTCAAACTTCAGTAGACTCCCCACAAGGTCCTTAATTGGCTCTGATACCACTTGTTAGAGACTAAGGACGGAGTCTATGAAGATTAGGTGCCTAAATAACTCAAAATCGTTGGCTTAGAAATTCTGGACAGAAACCGCGATTTCACAAGAAACGTCGTCGACAAAAAAAACTAACCGTTAGAATGTTGTAGCCCTTGACCAAGGCTATCTTTCCCAATTTGAATCGTATCAAAAGGTGGAGTAAATCTCGAGTTATGATTTTCGGCGCACTAGGGGGTATGCTGCCACAAGCTTAACTCAATCACAATAATTTTCACAAAGATCCACAAGAAGCGCACACAAGAGTTAGAGTAGCACTAAACCAGGTGGGAGGGAAGAGGAGGACGAGAGGGAAGGTCCCAAGGAGTCCCCAACCAAAGGAAACCCCATGCCACACAATTCCCCTCTCCATAGGCAACCCCACTTTCACATTTGTCACTTTCCCAACTCATGCCATCCACCTCAACTCACTTGGCCACACTTCCCAACCTGGTTTGGCTTCTCCCAACCACATGGCAGCAATCTACAGTGATGGGTTCGAATGTCCCAACCCCAAAAGTCTGTACCCCATATTGAGTCACTCTCACAACTTCCCAAAGTCGCCGCAACCAAAGTACAGAAAGCTTACGAAGTCCAATGTCCGTAACTTTCTTGTTCTTGCTCCGATCGCGACGATTCTTGGTTCGTCGGAAAGCTCTCGAGCAGAGCAATCACTTCAGATATCTGCTCAAGCCAAATAGCATTCACACACACTCAGAAAATCCAAACCGCGCATATCACAAATTCTTGCACACGCTCACACCACGCATGCAATGCACAAACATTTGATGGGAGGCAGACAGACGTGAATGCGAATGATAGCATCACACAACAATCGTCACCTTCACCTCCTGGACCCACCCTCCAGATCTTGATCCAGACTTCAGCCCCGGCGGCTTCTGGCATTCCCATACCATTCCTGAAGCAGAAAGAACAAGAGCGTTAGCGACGATTCAACATTCGGCAGCAGCAGAGACAACATCGGCAGCAGCAGAGACAACATTGGCAGCAGCAGAAACAACATCGGCAGCAGCAGAGACAACATCAGCAGCAGCAGAGACAACATCGGCAGCAGCAGAGACAACGACAGCAACAACGACAACATCAACTCCAATCGCTGGTCCTTCAACGGCACCAATCTTCTTCGACGATACACCACCGACACCCGCACAGCAGCTACAACCGGCACCACGAGAGTTCCACCGAAGCGCCAACGTCACCGCCGGCTTCTACTCCAACTCCGACATGTACCGACGCTCGCCCGGACACCGCGCCAGCGAAGAAACCTGGCACGCAAGACTTGGACACCCAAGCAACACAGTGTTAAACAACACGATAAGAGCAGGCGTACTCGACAAAGATTCTCTTCTACTTCACGACGGCAGAGAACTCCAGCGAGTCTGCGGAACGTGCTTCACCTGCCCTGAAGCTGACTTACCGCACCAGCCGTTTGTCTCGCATCACAATCCAAGCGCACCTACATACACACCACTCGAGAAGGTGTACAGCGACATCCTGTACAACCCTGAGCCCAGACAAAACGCCTACAACTACCGTAAAGTGCCACCTATAGGACCCGCCGGTAAGAGGGTCCCCCGGGACTCTTGAACGGGTAGGGGGACTCTTATTGTGGCAGGTTTTGTGATGACCCCCCCTTTGTCGCTAATCATTATAAGACCCCCCCTTCCATGTAAGGCCCTGTTTATTTTGGTGCAGTTATCATTGTTACTGTAATAACCTACTACACACATCTCAACATCTAGTGGTCACTACATCTACGACCTGGTCATGTTGGATTCCATCAGGCACTCTAGTTAGGAACCAGTCAACCCCCACCTCCCCTCCCCCCTACTCCTCACTGCGCGTCCGCGGCCTCCTCAAGCCCACCCTCCTCCTCCTCCTCCTCCTCTTCCTCCTCATCCTCCGCCTCCTCCTCCGCCTCCTCCTCCTCCTCCTCCTCCTCCTCCTCCTCATCCTCCTCCTCCTCCTCCTCCTCCTCCTCCTCCTCCTCCTCCTCCTCCTCCTCCTCCTCCTCCTGCAGGTCCCCGGCGTCCTCTGCATCCGCCGCCTTTGCCGCCTCCTCATCCTCCGCGGATGTGGCGAACAGCGGGTTCACCCACTCCTCCACCTCAGGGGCGACGTGCACGTCCTGTGCCACCTCGACCTCGCCCGCGTCGCGCATGTGGGCAAGGACGAGGTGGTCCTGCTTCCCATCGACCGAGTTGCTGATGCCCGTCGTGAGAAACGCCTTCTCAATAATGTGCTCGGGGACAGCCGCCCAAGCACTCGCAATCCACTTGAGGACCGTCTCTGCTGGCGGCTTCTTCAGGTTGCCTGCCATGTAAACGGTGATGAACAGGCACGGCGCGCACATGGGAGTTATCTTACAAACAAGCAGCTACGAACAAGTCAGAAGGCGAGGAAATTAGAAAGCCACCAAAACTCACCGGCTTTCGTGAACGTGTTGATGCCAAACTCGGCGAACCCGTCGTTGTAGAGCTGACGGAGCAGTGCCTTGAATGAGCGATTAACGCTCACATCAAGGGGCTGCAGCAGTGGGGTGCAGCCCCTGGGAATGATGGCCGGGATTACCCGGTTCCACTTCATGTTGGTGAGAACGCCATCGGTGAGGTGGCCCCGGTACGAGTCCACGACGAGAAGTGTCTTGGACCGCCGGATTCCGCGCGGAGGCTTGATGAACGGCAGGAGAACATTGTTTACCCAGTCGTCCACGAGCTTAGCGTCCATCCAGCCTTTCGCCTGCGCATGGACAACGACTCCTGCAAGGGAAACAGCGCACGTGGTTAGAAGTTTGCCACGCATAGAAACTCCCGTGCTGGTTACAACTCTTACAACGCACCTGCCGGGGAGCTTGCGCCCGTCCGCGGTGATCCCGAGCATGACAGTCACCCTGTCCTTCTCATAGCCCGCGCTCCTGACGTGCACCGTCTTCTCTCCGCGATGATGCAGGGTACGCTCGTGCGGCATCTCCAGGAAAACGGGCGTCTGGTCGGCGTTGATAATATTCCATGTGTCGATGCTATGCTTGATGATGTTCCGCCTCGTGAACGCCCAGAATTTCTCACACTTCGGCTTGCAGTCTGCCATGGACGACCACAAGGCGGGAGAAAGACATTAGTGACGGTGGTGTGTTAAGCATGAGTGTAACATGTCGCTGTGCAAACGATAGAAACACACACATGTACGGAAGCGCAAGCATACCACTCACCCGCTGCCATACGCTGACCCATCTTCGTTTTGACGCGGATAGCGAGGCCCAAACGCTGGCGGAAGCGGAACGTCCACCTGTTGGACGCCATCCACCTCACATCAGGGTAGTGCGCCTTCATGTAGCACCGGCTCCAGTCCTTGATGAGACGAATAGGCACGGCCAAGCCACGTCCGCGGAAGTTCAGGAGCCGCTTGTAGGTGTGCGCCTCCATGTCGGGATATTTCGCCTTTCTTCCTCCACCACTCAGTCGGCGCCTGGACGGTGCTGCCTTCTTAATCCGATCCGCCGCCCTTATCCACCGGCGGACGCTGACAGGCTGCACCCCGGCAAGTCGTGCAGTGGCGCGGACGGAGAGCTTCTCCTCCTCCATCCGCGCGAGCCATTCCTGCTTCTCACCCATGGTTCGCGCCGTGCGACGGTGATTATTCTTGCGGGCGGGTCGAGCTTCTGGAGCACCGTCAACCTTGGAGCGAGGCCCGCTCTCGTTGTGGATCAACTCATCCGGGAACGTCGGGATCGGGAAATCCCTGACGTCGTCTTCCATGTTCTCGTTCTCGGCGTCCTCGGCGACGGGTTCGGGAAACCCCTCCTCCTCGAGCGGGTCCAACGGAGGTGTGGTGCGCCAGTCGACGAAGCCCGGGGGAAGCACAGGAGGCGCAGGTGGCGCCGGAGGCGCAGGGGGTGCCGGAGGTGCGGGAGGTGCTGGAGGAGCTGGCGGGGCCGGGCTAGTAATCAGTATGATTGCGGGCTGACCAGACCCACTGCCCACAGGAGAACGGCGAGACCGCCATGGCCTTTCGAAAGCTGACATGGCGAGGAGCTGATACAGTTCTAAGAACTTCTGGTACTCTAAGTGGCAGGCGCCATGGCGGGCTATTTAGATGGGAAGGAAGCTAGCGGTCCAGGCAAGATCTGAAACAGGGAAAGGGAGGGGATGAAAGCTTGCGTGCTCAGCAGAGTGTGGGACGTGAAACCCTAGTGCTTCACGTCCAGTGCCCATTCTGCCACAGAGGCAGGATGGGGTGGTCAGGGGCCACCTGGCGTGCCCATCTTGACGGGAAACAACGTCAAGATGATGTGCGGTGCGGGGCAAACACCGTTCAGTCCGCCCTCGTGCTCTGATTCTCGCCGCGTGTCATTCCCGATGACGCGCACATTGTGCACCAAGCGAAAGATTCTGGCGCGGAAAATATAAGACCCCCCCCCTTGTAACGAGCTTGTACATGGTAAATCTAATAAAGTTAATAGATAAATAAGTGTACCCCGGGTCTTAAAAATTTGCAACCGCCATAATGTCCACCCTAGCATTTTTTTGAGCATTTGTAGAGAGTCCCCCGGGTCCTATAGGTGGCACTTTACGGTACACCATCACGTTTATCGACGGCGCGACACGCTATGTTTGGCACCTCAATCTCCCGAGCAAGGACATGGCCTTCGAAGCGTTCCTGGCTTCCTGTAGCCGAAAGAGAATCGGGCGTAAAACTGAAAAGCTTCCAGTCAGACGGGGGAGGAGAATACACCTCACAGAGGTTCAAGCAGTACTTGGCAGAGAGGGGAATCAAGCGGCTCATCTCCCTTCCCTATGCCCATCAACAACAAGGTGTAGCAGAAAGGATGAACAGGACGCTCCAGAACACCATGCACAAGCTACTACGTGGCATGCACCTGCCCAACCACCAGTGGCCCGAAGCAATGGACCACGCCGTCATGCTGCACAACTTCCTCTTGTCATCATCGCTCCCGAACAACGCATCACCGCATCTACTGTGGACAGGAAAACTGGGCAGCACAAAAATGTTGAGAGTCTTCGGCTGCATGGTACAGTACCGACCCCCATCTGCACGAGCCGGCCGATTCTCCCAACGCGCACAGTGGGGGGTACACCTGGGCATCGAAAAACATTACAACGCGTGGAAAATTTTCGACCTCGAGACAAAGGAAACAGTGGCAGCACGTGATGTCATTTTCTACGAAGGACTCACCATGCGATACTACCTCGCCAACTTGGAAGAAGGAAATCCCGACCGCAGCGATGGCTTTCGTGGAGACCGAGCCTTCGCTTCGGCAGCCGACGAAGCTGACTGGGACGAGCAGAATGTGGAAGGAGCCTCGGAAGAAGCCGGACCACTCCCTTACTGTTCGGTTGACATCCCGATGGACGACGAGAATCCTTGCGAAAGCATCAACGCCGAAGTCTACTACGACTTCGCCGACAACGGTTACGTTACACCTGCACGGGTCAACACCAACGAAGCAGAACGAGTAGGACCAAATTTTAATCCTACACCTGAAGCAGGAGACGAAGCAGTTTATCCCGATGATACAACACTTCCCCGCTACACACAGAGTGGACTCCAGATACTTGGACTTGTCGAAGAGAAAAGGCCCCGCCCTCGCTTGGGCGAAGTCGACCAGGAATTTCGGAACAGAACGGTGTTCGTTTCGTGGTCATCGGCGACTTCGGGGACTTTTATCTGCGTGCGACGAGTCGTTTGTCGACGAGATTATTTGGTCGAGGTAGAAGTGTTTCCTCTGCTCAATCAAGGTCCTCGTCTACGAAGAGCTCATCGACGGGAGTAAACCGGTGTCGAAGACGAGCCTTTCTGGAATATATATTGCACTGCCTGCGTCAGCAGGCAGTGCAATCGAGTCAGCGCGGGCAAGAAAAAAAAAATAAACCCCAGTCGGGGGCATGCCATCCGAGGGAGCCTCAACCCTAAAATTTTAGGGTTGAGGCTCCCGAATGGCATGCCGTAAGCCATGGGTTTATTTTTTTGCCCGCGGGCAGCGTGCTGACTCAGTCGGTAGCGCTACCGGGCGCTACCGACCGCTACCGGCTCCAGAAAGTGAAATATATTGATGGACGGAATTGGCAGAATTGGTGTTCGACGGATTGGTGGTCGACAGAATTTAGTTCGACGAGTGTTTCGTCGAGCAGAGCGATTCTGGTCGACCAGAATTACTTAGATCCGAAATTCGCAATGTGCGCGAATTTCGTCCAATCACGGAACAGCAAAATTTCGACCAATCAGGTAATTTCGGAAATTGTACTCCCCAGGAGAATTCGATTCAGTAAGGAAACAGACACTGAAACACGTTTTTACTAACAGTAAAAACGTGCACAACTATGAACGTTGTAAACCTGAGAAACTACCAACTCAGGTGAAATCTGCATGCGTTTGTCGTTTCACCTGCCGTTGCTGACTCGACAGATTCAGGTGCTTGTCGAGGAACGTTTCTACAGGGTTCGTTGCCTTTGCTATTTGGTTCTCCTTGCTTGTACCATATTCTTGTTCTATTTTTTTTCCTTAGTGAAACTATGCTTGAATTCTACCAAGGCAACTAAGTTCACTCCTGAGAATCACTGCCAGAACTCTGACCGTGTGTCCCACGCTAGTCAAGCTCTCCCGTAGAATAGTATTCTCCGCATGGTGCGGTGAGCGTGGACGGCCCCGCGTTAGAACCTTCAGATAGCCGACTTCTGCGTTCATTACCTAAGTTGTAGTAGGCCGGCAACTATCTAGTCCGCCATGGTCGACCAGGAGGAGGTCGCTGCAGGAGTGGAGGATACCCTGCAGGCGCGATTAGACGACGTTCGGGCACGCCACGCAGCTGGCGAGTACGGCGGAGCAACCTTGGAGGTTATGCTCTTTGGAACCCGCGTGCAGTGGGCGCGCGAGCACCCAACGATCCGTACTGAGGCGGATGGTCTGCCCGCCACTCCCCGACCGGCACGCAACGAAGGTGGCGTCGACGACCAGGTCGACGGTGGTAACCAAGTCGGCAGCGACGGAGGCACGAGGATGACACGTGGAGTGATTTGGGCAGCCGATGGCGGCATCGGCGGAGTGCAGGCGCGCGTTCAGCGTTCGGCGGTAGCAGGAAGCTCGAACGGCAACAGCGACGGTCGACGACGTTCTCCTGAGCGGAGTGGAGTCGGGCCGACTTCGGCGATTCATGCGTCGGCTGGTCGAGATGGAGGCATCGCGCCGTCGTATGGCTATTTTAAATTTTCGCCGGACAAGATCGTTGTGCCGAAGCCGCTCGACGGTCGACACGGCTTGATCACGTGGACGGAGTCTATCGAACCGCAGCTGGAGATCGCCGGATTGAAGAGGTTCGTCGACGGAGACGTGTTGGCGCCGGACGAGGAGGAGGTCGAGCTCTGGTCGGAATTTCGCGCAGCTCAGCTTCTGACCTTTATGGTTATTTCTGTTAGAAACAATAGGAGTGGGGCCTAGGCTTAGTAGCCTAGGCCCACACTAAGAGGTAGTAGGATGTGCCCTAGGACTAGGGTTTTGGGTATGCGAAGGAGAATTGGAGAAGAGGAATGATGGAGGATGGTTGAACTAGCAAGCAGGTTGGTACAAATAGGAAACCCTAAAGGGGTTGTACTCACTATTGAGCACCCCACTGCAGGCTAGACAAATAACATAATCTGACACACCCCCATAGTCAAAGTGGGGTGTAATCAGCACAATCAGCAGTCACATCAAAAGTTCACAATTATCAGCAAAGCTAGAGGCTATCACAGAGGGCAAGTGAGGAGGAGGAGGAACTGTGAAGGGAGAGAAGATTGGAGACGACGACTGAAGCTGCAGACACACAGGCGCAGCAGGCTCTCTGAGCTACCAGGACAGTGCGCCCCGGACTACAGGTGCTGCAGCCTCCTCCAACTGTCCCACACCCCCCTACACACATCCCCTGTTTCACCTCTAGCTCCACTCCCACATCACCCCCCTAGCGCCACTCCCTTCGGCTCCCACACCTCCACCCCCCTCAGCGGCAGCTGCAGCAGTGGGAGACGAAGGAGGAGGAAGGGACGACGCACACGGAGCACCCCCATACCTGTCACCCCCACACTCCTGTCCAGGGGACGGGGGGGGGGGGGGGGGGCAACATAACAGAACAGAGTGCACGAAGCACAAGGCACAAGGCACAAGGCACGAGGCACAAGGCACGAGGCACAAGGCACGAGGCACGAGGCACAAGGCACAAGGCACAAGGCACGAGGCACAAGAGAGTAGAGCACAAGGCACGAGGCACGAGGCACAAGGCACAAGGCACAAGGCACGAGGCACAAGAGAGTAGAGCGCACGAGGGCGCGGGCTGCAGCAGGGCGCACGAGGGCGCGGGCAGCAGCAGGTAGGCAGGGCGCGCGCAGAGGCGCAGCGCAGGTAGGCAGTGCGCGCGCAGAGGCGCAGCGCAGGTAGGCAGGGCGCGCGCAGAGGCGCAGCGCAGGTAGGCAGTGCGCGCGCAGAGGCGCAGCGCAGGTAGGCAGGGCGCGCGCAGAGGCGCAGCGCAGGTAGGCAGGGCGCGCGCAGAGGCGCAGCGCAGGTAGGCAGGGCGCGTGCAGAGGCGCAGCGCAGGTAGGCAGTGCGCGCGCAGAGGCGCAGCGCAGGTAGGCAGGGCGCGCGCAGAGGCGCAGCGCAGGTAGGCAGGGCGCGCGCAGAGGCGCAGCGCAGGTAGGCAGGGCGCGTGCAGAGGCGCAGCGCAGGTAGGCAGTACAAACGAACACAGGCAAAACGAACAAATACACGAACAAGACGAACGTACACGGAGTGGGCAAGAAAAGACACATACAGAACGAGAGGAACAAGACTGCGGGTGACAGGAAAAGGAGGCGGCTGCACCGGGACCAGGAGCGGCGTCGCATGCAGCTGCAGGGTCGGCGCCGTGGGCTGCTGCAGAGGCGGCTGCTGCAGGGGCGGCTGCTCGGGTCCAGGGGCAGCTGCAGCAGTGGCGGCTGCTCCAGGGGCCAAGGGCGGCTGCTGCAGGGGCGGCTGCACCAGGTGCGGCGTCGCGGGTCCA